ATTATGCAGAATTTCAGGAAGAATCACACACAAACCTGCTTTAATCAATTGTATTTCCTAGCTAACTTTAATTTTTGGATATGAAAACTCTCGATCTTGGAATTTCAACACAGCGTTAACATGATACCATCACGATTGCGTTGTTTCACCTCGATAGCGGCACCTGTGGTTAATTCCCGACGCGTAACGCAATCGATCGGTTGTTGAGAGAGAGATTAAAAACATGCGAACTATTCTATCAAAACCTTAACCTTATAATATGCAAACTCGTATTCTTGAATTGTTACACAACACGGCACTCGGTCTTTGATTCGTATCCAATCCTTAACACATTTTCTTGTCGCGTTGTTAACAGTAGGACGACTGATTATTATGCAACTCAATGACAGCAGTATTTTTCGTTATGAATTGATTTTTAATGCACCACCTTGGAGTGGCAACCCTTCTTGATTATCCCGATATGCGTATCGTGTGTCTTCGTTATCACTGGTTCAATTCTTTGCGTAAAGCAGACGCCGAGATTAGCATCTCTTGTGTCCAAAATGTGTTTCCTGTGTGTTGCGGCGCGGTGGGGAGTGAGGGAGAGTGTGTGGGAGGGGCATACGAACGGCTTGTCACAGTTTCTGTCCACAGCTGGCTGAATGAGTCAGCACGACGCTCGCCGTCGTGCGCCGATGGGTGTTGAGTGCGGGGCCGCTGCCCTCTCAACCCTGGTGACGCGAAGTTGCGCGCTGTGGCACGCTGGTGGCACGCTGGTGGCACGCTGTTGGCACGCGCTGGTGCTGATGCTGGTGCTGATGGCACGCTGGTGGCGCGCGCTCCCTCTCCTTGAAGATGCGCGAACGCGCCCGTGCTGGTTCGCTGACAGCAGTTTCTCTCCACTGCTGGATGAGCTGCTGCACGCTCTTGCTTGGCGTTGCTGGCCGCGCTCTTTCCGTTGCTGTAGTATCTGACGCTGCGCTCGCGGGTGACAGGTCAAGTTTTCTTCTGCTGAGTGAGCCGAGTCGCACGCGCTCTCTTTGTTGAGGTTGTTGGCGGCTCTCTGACAGCAGGTTTCCTCCACTGCTGTATGACTCAAGTCGCACGCGCTTGGTCGCTGGTTTGCTGAAGTTGTTGGCGGCTGTCCAAGCTTTTCCGCTGCTGGTTGAGCCACGTTGCACGTGCTTTCTCTGTGGAGATGCTCGAGCGCTCTCAGCGCTGATTCGCTGGTACTTTGTAGGCGGCTGGCCAAGCTTTTTCTTCTGTTGAGTGAGTTGATTCGCACGTGCTCTCTCTCTGTTGAAGTGCGTGAACGCGCCCGTGCTGGTTCGCTGACAGCAGGTTTCCTCCACTGCTGTATGACTCACTTTTGTTGATCCATCGCGACTCAGCGATCCTCGCTACTCAGCAAGGCTCGGAGCCAGCCGCTCCATGCGACTGCTCGTCCTGTGGACGTCTTGACTCGCTGATCTGTCTTGACTGACTTAACTGAACTTTTTGAAAATGCGCTGACCGTTATATTCAAAGACATTCTTCTTTCTGTGCAGTGAAGGGGGGGGGGGGGCGTGGTCTGTGTGTGTGTGAGTTCGTGTGTGTGTACAGATGGCTCCTGCGATAACGATCTGTTTGCCCAGGCTTTAAATTCCTCTCTCGCGCTCTGCGGGAGAGACAAAGGTGGTCGGGAGTACCTATCTCTTTATACTTTCGACTTTATATTTCTCAAATACCATTTGGTCCCATGTTCGCCAAGACTCGTGTTTGTAACTACGTCCTCCCGACACCCCTCTCGGTTTACCGAGGTTCGCATTGTTATGATGGAATTATTAAAAAGAAAAATAATTTTCATCCTGAGTTTAAGAGGTCCGTTTCTTGATTGTTGGAATCCATATCCCTTGGTTCTGTAAGGTTCTGTAATGGAATGTCGTGTAAGGTGAACACGTTATTCTTAATTTTATGTGTGACTGATGTGTAGCCACTTCTTTAACTTAAAAACGTGTTCGCTGGCTGTTGTGTGTGTTTTCTCATTAACCCGTCTGGCTAGCTCCAGATGGCCCCTCGTGATAAGGTGTGGTTCCTGCTTCTCCGCGCTGCGAGAGAGACAAAGGTGGTCGGGGTTGCTTGGGATATTGTTTAAACTCTTTCGCAAGTTTGCCCGTTGTCTCATTCCTTCTCGAAAACCTTTGATGTGACTCTGTATTTTGTCTCCAAGATTTGTTTTAACAGTAAAAGTATTAAAGGTGAAAATCATTTGATAGCGAATTAATTATTGGATAATAATTCACTGATGTATCTGGTGGCCTGGTCTTAATTGGAGTGAGCGCGAGGGCCGCTAACTTTAGCTTATTCTTGTTATTGCATTTTAAATTTTAACCGTTGTTTTAATGACAAAGGGGGAAAAAAATATGGTTTAACCCTTGGGCGTCCTCGTTTCTGGCTTGCGGAGGGCTTCCCTCTGCGTGACTTCCCTTAGGGCACATCAAATTCTTGTTCATCTGGAGATCTTCGCAGATAACTGCTAACATCCTCGCCTCGAGAGTTTTATTATTTCTTTATTTATTAATGGCCTGTTTATGATCGACATCTGGTTTTTCGTGTGCCTGGCTTACGGGTTTTATTGATTTTTTTTGTTTGTTTAAAAAAATATGATATATATAACGGCAAATATTATTGTTAATATCAATTTGTAAAAGGCTCATATACAACATTGGTAAGTGAGTGAATGGACGAGTGGGTGAGCGAGTAGTTGATTGAGCGCACGATTGAGATGATGAGTGGGTAAATGATTCAGTTTCAAGTTGACTCTTGTTCAACCAGGGTGAATCTCAATGTGTCTCAATTAACAGCGTCTATTCTATAGTGACCCATTCCCCGCCGTATTAAATGCATTGCTTATTATTTTTGCGCTAAAATACGCTTTCAAATGTAAGTTATAAAAAAACTAAAACCAAAGAGCCACCGCATGCTGGAGTGACCTGGGGCACGGAGTCTGCTGACAGTCGGGGGTCGATGATTGCCTCTGCGGTGATCCCAAGCGAGTACATTTTGCCGAGTCAAATTGTTTTCGGAGTTGGGAAAGTTTGGATCGTGACGCCGACACGCAGTGGCCCCACCACCACCACCACCACGACCACGCTCATTCTCTCCGTCTTTTACCAAATTACGGGGTCTTTAACGTGCCCTGCGAAGCGTGGATGTTTCTCCCGGCCCACCGGGATTTCCCCCCCCCCGCTCCTCTCCGTCAAGCGTTTAGAGTATTTGGCTGCTTGATGAATGTCCACACGATGATGAGCCACACACTTCGTTGCGCTATCATTTGTGGCCAAGGTCGCTTCTGAAAACTAGCTCAGTGGGCCTTACCCGGTAAAATCATTAATGAATACATTAAGTTTTGATTTAAAGCTTTCGTGACTGCAGTGATTCATATTCTTGGTTCTTTCGGTAAAGTCACCACGTAGAAGGGGAAACAATAAAATAATAAAATATATATAAAACAATAAAATTCTCACAACGTTTCGACTGTAACACAAACAGTCATCATCAGGTGTGAAAACCAACGGCAAGAAACATTTGAAAAAGTGGCGGTTTGTATTTATTTATTTATTTTTAAAATCACTATCCGTGGCGCTAACGTTTAAAAATAAATAAATACAAACCGCCACTTCTTTCAAATGTTTCTTGCCGTTGGTTTTCACACCTGATGATGACTGTTTGTGTTACAGTCGAAACGTCGTGATAATTTTATTGTTTTATGTATATTTTATTATTTTATTGTTTCCCTTCAACGTGACTTTACCGAAAGAACCAATAATATAATACATTAAGGGTTAGTATTGCTCCAATTCTAGATTTGAAGCTTTCGTGACTGCAAGGATCCATACTCTTTGGTTCTATTCGATAAAGTCACGTTGTTTTATTTTTTTTTACCTACGTGACTTTACCGAATAGAACCAAAGAGTATAGTATTCCTCCAGTATAAATAAATGTTCTCATTCTATATTATGATTACACACACAAAGACACATTGTGTGTGTCTCTCTCTGCATGTGTATCTGCCTGTTGTTTCCGTGCCTGTGTTTTATCGTTCATTCTTTACCTGACGATGGTTGCTTGCGTCGCAATCGAAACGTCGTATTCTATTACTATTTGATTTTACTTTCTACGTGACTTTACCGAAAGAACCAAAGAGTAATTCCTGCAGTCACGAAAGCTTCGAGTCTAGATGAATATTGTTGCCGTTATAACACCCCCGCAGTGTTTATCTGGGCGGCCGCTGGAATGCTAACCGCGGACCTCTGCAACAAGCGGCCGTGTCGCTGTCCGAGGCAAAGGCGCAGCCCCTGCAATTGCTGGCTTCACTGCGAGCACAAGGGCATCCACTGGAGGGTGTTTGGCCTACTCTTCCACTCTGGCCGTATGTACGTCTTGGAATAGGTGGGCGTTATCCGCACCTCCGATGAGCACGGTTGGCTACGTACGGTGCGAAAGAAGTTCAACAGACGTGCATGCACACACTAAAGAAGCCCCGTATAGCCTTAACAGACTTTTGGGGCAAGTGTTATACCCACACTTTAGGAGCCGTCCATAAATGACGTCACGCACCTAGAGGGGGGGGGGGGTCAGACATTTGTGACGATGTGTGACGAGGGGAGGGGGGGGTGTGTAAATGTGACGTCACATCAAAATGCGCAACTTTAAATAAATCTAGAATTGTTATAACAACACTAATTGTTACAACACTCCTACAACATCAGAGTGCATTAAATACGCACTACAATGACAATAGTTTAAATCGATTTGAAGCATGTTTTATTTTCAAAATGGAAAATATGGTTTTGGGGGGTGGGGGGGGCAGAGCTTTGTGACGTCATATTTGAGGGGGGGGTTCTGACTTTTTGTGACGCCGTGTGACGAGATGGGGGGGGGGTCAAAATTCGTCCAAAATAGCGTGACGTCATTTATGACTTGGGAGAGGGAGGGAGGGGAGAGATGGAGGCGGTTGCGGGGTGGCCGTGGTGGTGGCGGCCTCGGAAACTTGCGCCATTGTTTCAGCTGCCGCGCCTGGAGATCGAAGCGAGCGCGCGCTCAGACGTAGAGCGAGCGGCCGATTGCGCAACCTCAAGAGCCCGACGTCAATCCGAATTAATCGATTCCCGCCGTTACTCCACGTGCCCGGAGAATCGATTTCCCCGTTAATCGCCAGCATAAGGGGAATCGACTTCACTACCACAGCCATCATGAATCTATGGAATCGCGTCGAGGTCCTGCAAACGCCCGCTATGTGGTCGCGGCAGCAGCGGCAACCACCAGCGGCTCCTCACACGGCAGCAGGGCATCCATCCACACGTCCGATGCGTGATGCGTGAGACTCTAAGAGCCCGCGACATCCACGCAACAACAACAACAACGCTACAACGAGCAGGCGGGGGAGAAGGAACACAGCGGCGATGAAGGCCCCGTGTCCGCGGGGCCTGCGGGCTTTCCTAAGCAGCCTGGCCGGGTTCGCGCTCGGCTTCTCGGCGGCCACTTGGCTCTTCTCGCCCTGGGCAGCGCAGCGATCCGCCACCGCTGGCGCCGGCGGCGTTTCCACCGGCGGTCACTGCTGGTGGCAGGGCGGCTTCGGGCGAGGCGGAGCGCTACTGATGGGCGCCGGGAGGAGCGGCGCGTCGTCATTCTCGTTCGCCTTCTCCTTCCCCTTCTCGTCGTCCTCATCCACCTCCCGGGAGGAGACGGAGTGGGGTGGAGCGCGGACCCGCAGCTTCGTCTACGTCGGGGTCATCACGGCGCACAAGTACCTGTCCACACGCGCCTGGGCCGCCTATCGAACCTGGGCCCCCACGGTGCCCGGCCGCGTGGAGTTCTTCACGAGCGACGGCTCCAGCTCCGAGCTGCCCCTGCCGCTCGTGGCGTTACCCGGCGTGGACGACGTATACCCGCCGCAGAAGAAGTCCTTCATGATGCTGAAGGTACATGCAAGTTGGTGATTCGCAGACGCGGTGGTTAGACCAGAACAACACCACGCTTGTTGACCTCCCTCATCAGTGCCCCTACCTGATTGCAGAGTAATTCGGGACCTTATCGGTCACCCCCGTGCGCCTTACGTTTCTCAACGTTCATCATACAAAGTCACCATCACGAGGGAGAAACGCAGACAAGACAATGTTGCCCCCGTATTGAAGCGGCTGTTTTCATTGCCAAGTCGCATTAATTAGGTATGGCCCTGTGAGCCGTGCGGTTCTTGAGTCGGGTGCAACCGCAACAAACAAAAAAAATGTGAACAGAGAAACATCTTAAAGCGACGACTTGCAACAGAAACATCCTGGGATAAACCAGCAATTTTTTTTCCAGAAAGAAAAAAAACACCGTATTAAAACGGCTGTACGCCGTATGGACCTTTAAAAACGCAATTTCCCTGTACAAGAATACGGGGTAAACCGTATGGGTTGACACGGTGTGATCATACAACAGCAAATAGAACAAAATATATCACCAGGTAGGCGAGGGTCTCACTGAGCAATGTACTGTAGTTGTTTTTTTTTTCAGAAGCGACCTGGCCATCAGATATGATCATCACCATCAGATATGATCATCACGTGGAAATGTATAGCAGCAGCCAAAATACTCTCTAAACACCTGATGTTGATTCTAAATGTGGAAGTAAAAATATATATTTAATTAAAAAAAACTTTCTTAAAAAACACGCTTTCATAAAATGTACTAAAAAGTTAAATAGCAATGGAAAAAACTCCACGACTCCAGGAAGTTGCCCCGAAGCTTGCCATAACGTAAGGGGGACCATGGGCAATTACAGCCAACGTCAGTTTACCGTGGACAATTAGACCCAAGCCGAAACATAACATATACAAAATAATGTTTTAAAATATATATTTTTATGATAGAATAAGGTATTGTCATCAGTATGACATACGTATACCAAGTTTGCAGTCGATACCACATAGGGAAGTGGGTTAACATTGAGTTACAATATTTGAGGATACAACGACAGACAGAGTTAAATACAAGCGTGTAAAAACCGGAGGACCTAGAGAAAAAATCCACGCGGCCACGCAGAGAGAGATATGCAAACTCCACATATACAGCAGGCGTCAGGGTCGGGATCGAATCCACGACCTCTTGCATACTAGGCAAGGGAGTTAATTGCTGTTAAACTCTTTAACTTAACTTTCCCGCTCGCGACCCAATCAATAACATTGGCGGCGAATATTTGCACCGGTGCTAGACCTCCCCTAGGTCGACTTGGCTTGAATGGGTACCTGGTGTGGGTGTGCAAACATTCATCGCCGGGGAGATGAAGGCGGCCGTGCGGGTGTGGTGCTGGCGACCCCACCCCCCTCGTGTGCCGTGCCGGCCTTCATAGGTGCTCTTCGCTGACGGCACTTGCGCCCTAAGTCTGTTAAGGTCACGGGGGAGGCGGACGGGCGGGCGGGCGGGCGGGGAGCTTTGTCTTTGTGTCTCTCTCTCGCGCGCGCGCGCAGTACATGCACGACCACTACCTGGACCAATTCGAGTGGTTCGTGCGCGCCGACGACGACGCCTACATTCGCGGGGATCGCCTCGAGCAGTTCCTGCGCCGCCTCAACAGCAGCGAGCCGCACTACCTGGGCCAGACGGGGCTGGGCACCACCGAGGAGCTGGGCAAGCTGGCGCTGGAGCCCGGCGAGAACTTCTGCATGGGCGGCCCGGGAATGGTGTTCAGCCGGGAGGCGCTCAGGAGGCTGGCGCCCAATGTGGGGCCGTGCCTGCGCGAGATGCACACGGGGCACGAGGACGTGGAGGTGGGGCGGTGCGTGCGGAGGTTCGCCGACACGCAGTGCGTGTGGTCCTACGAGGTGAGTTGGGTGAGGCGGGGGTTTGCGAAATGGTGAGTTTGTGGTTGAGTGATTTGCTGGGTGGGTGACTGAATGGGCGGGTGAGTGAATACTTTGCACGGTTGGTGGGCGAGTGAATCTGTGAGTGAAGTGGGGTAGGTGGGTGGGAGGATGCGCGAGTGGGTGGGTAGGTGTACGAGTGGGTGAAGTGAGTAGTTGAAATGAGCGGGGTGAGTGCTTTGTTGAGTTGGATATTTGAAAAAGCGAATAGATGGGTGGGTGAGTAGGTGAGTGAATGAGTTACCGGGTGAGAATTGGCAATCGGTCGACAGAAGGGTGAACTTTTTTGGGGTGTTTAAAGTTTCAAGTTTCATTTATTAGGTGTAGCCCTGTGAGCCCTGCGGCTCTTTTGAGTCGGGTGCAACCGCAACAAACAAAATATGAACAGAGAACATCTTAAAGCGACGACGCGCAACAGAAATCTTCCAGAAAAAAAAAAACACCGTATTACAACGCTGTGTGCAAAAATCCCAGTGTGATGCAAGACAAACAATAACAACCATAAGACAATTTAGATTCAAGTTATTAGGCCAACTCCGCACTTCCGCAAGATACATGGCTTAACCACATGTTTTAGAAATCACCAAAATAAAGCTATAAAATACAATGTAACAACAGTAATCATAGGAACTTTGATTCAAATTTAACAATAAGCGATATACATAACATGTACGAACAAACTTGCAGCCATATCTGTCAGCATGACACTCCCCGTGTATGATGTGTGAGTGAGTCAATGTTAGTGAGTGTTTGATGTGTGAGTCAGCGTATGATAAGTGAGTCAGTGTATGATGTGTGAGTCAGTGGTAGTGTGAGTGAGTGTATGATGTGTGAGTGAGTCAGTGTATTATGAGTGAGTGTATGATGAGTGAATCATTGTATGATGAGTGAATGGGTCAGTGGTTGTGTGAGTGTATGATGTGTGAGTCAGTGGTAGTGTGAGTGAGTGTATGATGTCTGAGTGAGTCAGCGTATTATGAGTGAGTGTATGATGAGTGAATCATTGTATGATGAGTGAATGGGTCAGTGGTTGTGTGAGTGTATGATGTGTGAGTCAGTGTATGATGTGTGAGTGAGTTAGTGTAAGATGAGTGAGTGTATCACGGCATCCTCCCCGCCAACACGGCCTCCTCCCCGCCATCACGGCCTCCATGCCATCGCGGCCTCCTCCATGCCATCGTGGCCTCCTCCATGCCATCGCGGCCTCCTCCATGCCATCGCGGCCTCCTCCGCGCCGTCGCGACCTCCTCCCCGCCGTCGCGGCCTCCTCTCCGCCATCGTGGCCTCCTCCACTCCATCACGGCCTCCTCCCCGCCATTGCGGCCTCCTCCCCGCCATCGCGGCCTCCTCCCCGCCATCGTGGCCTCCTCCACTCCATCACGGCCTCCTCCCCGCCATCGTGGCCTCCTCCCCGCCATCGTGGCCTCCTCCACTCCATCACGGCCTCCTCCCCGCCATCGTGGCCTCCTCCCCGCCATCGTGGCCTCCTCCACTCCATCACGGCCTCCTCCCCGCCATACAGTGTCGCTCGGAGCGCTCGAGCGCGACAGACCGCGATGGCGCCGCCGACGGCATAAACGACGACGCGGGATGTCACCCAGACTACTCGCCAGTAGTCTGGGTGACACTCCGCGTCGCCCAGACTCCTCACCAGTAGTCTGGGTGACACTCACCGGTAGTCTGGGTAACACTCACCAGTAGTCTGGGTAACACACAAAAGAAACGTAATATGGATCAGACGAAAACTGCACTTTAAATTGTCTCCCGTAAATTCCTGCGCCCTATATGCAAGGTTCAGGAACTAAACATAACATGCTAGCCAGTCAAACACCAGCTCCACACTTAGCGATAATCACCTCGCCATCCAGACTCTAGCCTGACCCGACACAGCGTCGTTAGGCCTTCCCCCAGCAATGGAACAATAAATCATGAAAATGTTTTTTTTATTACTATTGTTACATGCGTATACGCTGATTAGAACTATGCTCTAAATTTTCGTGCTCGGCAAGGCCCCCTAGTCTCGATGGTTTGCTCCTGCCAATAACATCTGGCAACGTAACAGCATTAGTTTGACGGACATTGCTGATGAGACCCAGATGGGGTCGAAACCAGTCCACGGTTTTTCTTCGTAAACAAATGTTTGTCATGAAGCATGATTCCGGAAGGCCCAAACAGGCTGATGGACGAGAGAAAGAGAAATACTTGGGTTTTTTTGTTCGTTAATGAAGAGAGATGTACTTTTGTCTGTCCGTTTGAATCTCCATTATCTTGCGCTGACGAGCTGCTTAGATGGGCAGATCCACAAGTTTGACAACCTCAAGTAAACATTTCAGCATCGGCCGAATAATGCCACATGTGGTGCCACATGTGATGCCACTTCGAAGGTGGTTTTAGAAAAATATGGCTTTTTTATGGAATAAATCATTGGTTTAATGCATACGCGAATCAGAATGCCTGATCGCCATCCCAGCGGAGATGAAAGCCAGTTTGTCTGAGTGCATCCAAACACCGTTGTACTTCGTGAGCATTCCTCCATCATGAAGAAACGTGGAAGCAATAATTTTATTCTATCCCAACTATAGTCCAGATTTATTGACATCATCAGACATGGTCAATCCACTGCTGGTTGGAGCCTCCCCCCCCTCCCCCTACCCGGCACCAGTCGTATTGATCGTAGTGGTTGCTTGGCATCCTTCACTAAAGCTGGGGCTGGTCGTTGCAGGTTGATGACCGGTTCAGATATCAGACATCATTCACCACTGATGTTAGCCGTGACCAGGAATCAAACTCGGCCGCTGGGTTCATAGTGCAGTGCGCGCACCGCCGTGCCGTCCCTTCCACCCCTGACACACACTTCACGATTATACTGGCCTGCTCGCGTCCACTGGCGTGCGCCGAGGCGCCCGACACCTCGACCGCTGGCAAAAAATGTAGCCTCTCGCCGAAACGCGTTCAATCTACCAGCGCGTTCCTGACAGCGCATGCCAGCGGTGCCCCACTTGGGCTGGCGCCTGCTTCGCCTTCCATGGCCACGCTTGAAAGATTTTACCCTTTGCTCCCCCGTATGTACTGTACAGGCAGTCCTCTACTTACGATGGAGATGCGTTATACGACGACCCCCATCGTAAGTGAAAAATATCGTAAGTCGAAGATGGCCTGGCCTTCCCAGGAGTCTTAAAGAATGGTGATAATTGAGCAAAACGAGAGCAATTTACAGTACCGTACTGTATAAGCTATATACTGTATGTATTTATTAATTACAATACTGTATTGCACGGTAAAATGTAAAGTAAAAAAAAACAAGGTCAATTTTTAGCCTACCTATATGAACTGCAATTTAATAGAAAGTTTTTTTCAGGAAGCAATCCTATCTGCTATAAAAAAAACTTTGAACATGCATTGAACGTATCGTAACCCTAAAATGAAATCGCTAAAGCTACGTATCATACATGCATTGAACGTGTCGTTCGCTGCTGCGTTTGCCTGCCGCGCGAAATTTTAAATATTTGACAATTTTGCCGTATCGCTATCGCCATCGTAAAATCGAAATATCGTAAGTCAGACCATCGTAACTCGGGGACTATCTGTATATGTATGTCGAACTTCTTCGCACCCATCGGCCGCACGGCGTAATTTCAGCGGCGTTGGCTCAACACAAGCAACACTGGACCGGTTTGACGGTGCGGATTTTGTTTTTGTCCATGGTAAAACAAAAATCTTGAGAACCCGGACAAAACTCACGCAGAACTGTGTGTATGTCGAAATTCTTTCGCACCCGTACGTAGTCAACCGTGCTAATCGGAGGTGCTGGGGGGTGGGGGGGGCAAGGACAACAAAATTTAACACAAAGCAGTTCTAAAGAAATTAGATTGTCAATCTATATTTAAAAGTGCATAGCTCCAGTGGCTTCCTAATGTGGGATGGGAAGAGAGTTCCAGACGGCCGCAGAAGCGCACATGAAAGCACGCGATGCGATGACCACCGTCTGTTCGATGGTTAGCCAAAAGCCGCTGCGTGGCTGACCGGCTACGTACGGTGCGAAAGAAGTTGAACATCCATAGTTTGCGCGATGAATTATGCCCCTTGACGAGATCAGTAAGTTCTTTCAATGAAATTCTACTGCTTGAGCTCAGCCATATAACATGAAATTGTTTAAAGGGGGAGGGGGTGACATAGAACCACAACTCAGCGGTGTACTCCACAATGTTAAACACTAGAGGAATGTTAAACAGTTTATAATTGAATTTTGATTTAAAGCTTTCGTGACTGCAGTAATTCATATTCTTAGTTTTTTCGGTAAAGTCACGTTGAAGAGAAACAACAAAATAACAAAATATATATAAAACAATAAAAAATTCTCACGACGTTTCGACCATAACTCAAACGGTCATCATTGAGTTATGGTCGAAACGTCGTGAGAATTTTTTATTGTTTTATATATTTTGTTATTTTGTTGTTTCTCTTCAACGTGACTTTACCGAAAAAACTAAGAATATAGTTTATAATTGGTTTCTTTTGGCTCAGCTTGTGCAGTTGTAACGTCAATGAGAGCGATAAATCCCTCCACCATCTAACGTATGTGTGTCTGTATGTTGAACTTCTTTCGCAACCGTATGTGGCCAACCTGTGCGAATTGGGGGTGCGGGGGAAGGACAACAAACTAGACACAAAAAACAGACAAAGACAAACAAATCAAGTTGGCAGATGGGTAATGTGCCAATTGATTTGTATTTTTACAGCAAACCGTCATTTTACAAAAGTGAGCAAATTCGACATTTTTGTGACTGCGTGGTTTTTCTGATGTCTTCAAGGCCCCACCTACTTGAGGACCCGGATTAGGAAGCGCATTCACTCAAGATGTGAGCTCTGGCTACCCGACCTGACCATGCTGGGTGTACTCTTCAGCGAAACGTTGTACTAAAACCGCCCCAATTCCCCTTCGCTTTCCAAACGCGAAACATAAAAGCAAGTTGGTAAATGTGTCCGGGTTGACAACTTGGCCGTGTCGGCTGGTGTAGTGGCCACAGCTCAAATTGACATCGTACCAACACCGTCTGACCCAAAAAAAAAAATCCCCTAAGTGTGTGAATGTTGAACGCTCCACAGGATTGGTCATGGTTACGATCTGCTTTTGTCGAGCGTGACATCGGCTGTAACGCATCACACTTAAGAATTTGACAGATCCATTTCTTCTCCATTTTCTGTGCAGAAAGACAACTGCCCGACAATGCCGATACTGTACGCATAGATTATCTCTCTTTTCGCGGAAAAAAATAATTGGCAGTTAGACTCACACATGATACCAATCTGAAGTTTCCCCATGCATAAGAAGTCCCGTTTCGGAATGGGGCATTTGACGCCAGGGGTTTTCCTGGCAATATTCATTATCCCATTGTCTAACAAATGTCCAACTGTACAGAAAGACAGCTGCCTGATATGCCGATACTCTACGCCTAGATTTGTTTTCATTTCGCCTAAAAAATATATTTTGGCAGTTTGACCGACACACGATACTGAGCCCAAGTTTCCCCCCATGCATAAGAAGTCAGGTTCATAATGAGGCATTTGTCGCCAGAGGCTTTTCCTGGCAATGATCATGATCCAGATGCTTTCCAAAAAAGCCCCGCTGTCTCTTCCAAGTTGTGGGTGGTGGCAGCAGTGGTTTGGGCCCATGCCCTATCGCTGTCTGGCCAAAAAATTCTGCTTGCGAAATGTGGGAATGTGTCTGGCCGTGCCGAGACGACAATTCCACTTTTGACGCTCGCACAATACCAGCTGTGCCTTGCACGGCCTCGGGGAGATCCCCGTGTGTTTTCCCACTGCAGAGAAGCCGTGCCGATGGTGTTGCGGGCAATGAACATGTTGAGACCGGTTGACGTGCAACTGTCAGCCATGGTCGGGAATGGAACCCAGATTTCTGGATTCGTAGTGCAGTGTTACTACCTATTAGAGCCCTTCGGGTGTATGTTGGTTTGTATGTTTTTGAACTCGCACCATACATAGCCAAGCGTGCTAATCGGAGGTGCGTGGGAAGGACAACACACAACACAAACAGAGCAATGTTTGCTGCATGATCCCACCTGATATTCATATCGAGAGCTGGAATCTAGCCGTATTAAGTCCAAAAATAAATTTCATGCAATGGCTTTTTTTTGTACGGTCATCGGGTGGACCAGGCTGAGATTTATCAGCTCACAAAAAAATGTAAACCCGGTTTAATCACACAAAGCTGAAACCTGGAATCAAACCTAGCATCTCAGCAGTGGCAGCTCAGCCCTCTAGCCTGAGCCACCTATCCTCTCGGACTTGGTCTATGAGCCAGATTAATTAATCTCATCCATAGTGTGTTGAACCACTACACTACAGGTCCAAACACTTTATCTTTCTTCCTTTTTCCCAAGCACACTACTTAACTTAAAATTCCCTCCCATCATCCCAAGTTCTGACAACCTTGCTCAGCTAAAGATATGTATTCACACTTTCTCTATGTATGGTGAGCTTCTTTTACACCGTACCTAACCAACCGTGCCAATCGGAGGTGCAGCGGAAGGACAACAAACGAAATAATTGAGTTTTCATTCGATATTTAAAAGTGCATAGCTGCAGTGGCTTCTAATATCAGCAAGGAAGAGCGTTCCAGACAGCCGCAGAAGCGCATCTGAAAGAGCGCGATGCAGTGACCGTCTTTGTTCGATGGATAGCCATCGATGGTTAGTCATCGAACAGTGGATTGGATCTTTTCTGCAGGACAGGTCCCAGCAGATGGCCTTGGGTCACCATGTGTCCCCTCCTTAGACCCCCTCCCCTCACAGTATCCCTCAGGGGTCAGTCTTATCTCCCCTTTTATTCAGTGCCCATGTTAGGCTGCTTGGGAGCTATTATCCGAAGGCACGGGTTACAGTGCCATCAGTAACGCCGATGACACCCATATGTCTCCTTCTCAGGTAACCCAGATGCAGTTCTCGCCTGCTTAACTTAACAGACTGTCTGACAGAGGTAGCTACATGGATGCAACAGAACTGGCTAAACGGAGCTGATGATTGTAGGGTCAGAAAGTCAGCTGAGGATGGGACAGGAGGGAGCTTGAGCCTCCATTAATTAATGGAATTACGCCCACTCTCTGTAACAGTGGCGCACAACCTAGAGTGAGGGAAAAAAGTATTTGATCCCCTGCTGATTGTGTACGTTTGCCCACTGACAAAGAAATGATCAGTCTATAATTTTAATGGTAGGTTTATTTGAACAGTGAGAGACAGAATAACAACAACAAAAATCCAGAAAAACGCATGTCAAAAATGTTATAAATTGATTTGCATTTTAATGAGGGAAATAAGTATTTGACCCCCTCTCAATCAGAAAGATTTCTGGCTCCCAGGTGTCCTTTATACAGGTAACGAGCTGAGATTAGGAGCACACTCTTAAAGGAAGCGCTCCTAATCTCAGCTTGTTACCTGTATAAAAGACACCTGTCCACAGAAGTAATCATTCAGATTCCAAACTCTCCACCATGGCCAAGACCAAAGAGCTCTCCAAGAATGTCAGGGACAAGATTGTAAACCTACACAAGGCTGGAATGGGCTACAAGACCATTGCCAAGCAGCTTGGTGAGGTGACAAGAGTTGGTGCGATTATTCGCAAATGGAAGTAACACTAAAGAACTGTCAGTCTCCCTCGGCCTGGGGCTCCATGCAAGATCTCACCTCGTGGAGTTGCAATGATCATGAGAACAGTGAGGAATCAGCCCAGAACTACACGGGAGGATCTTGTCAATGATCTCAAGGCAGCTGGGACCATAGTCCCCAAGAAAACAATTGGTAACACACTACGCCGTGAAGGACTGAAATCCTGCAGCGCCCGCAAGGTCCCCCTGCTCAAGAAAGCACATATACATGCCCGTCTTAAGTTTGCCAGTGAACATCTGAATGATTCAGAGGACAACTGGGTGAAAGTGTTATGGTCAGATGAGACAAAAATGGAGCTCTTTGGCATCAACTCAACTCGCCGTGTTTGGAGGAGGAGGAATGCTGCCTATGACCCCAATAACACCATCCCCACCGTCAAACATGGAGGTGGAAACATTATGCTTTGGGGGTGTTTTTCTGCTAAGGGGACAGGACAACTTCACCGCATCAAAGGGACGATGGACGGGGCCATGTACCGTCAAATCTTGGTTGAGAACCTCCTTCCCTCAGCCAGGGCATTAAAAATGGGTCGTGGATGGGTATTCCAGCATGACAATGACCCAAAACACACGGCCAAGGCAACAAAGGCGTGGCTCAAGAAGAAGCACATTAAGGTCCTAGAGTGGCCTAGTCAGTCTCCAGACCTTAACCCCACAGAAAATCTGCGGAGGGAGCTGAAGGTTCGAGTTGCCAAACGTCAGCCTCGAAACCTTCATGACTTGGAGAAGATCTGCAAAGAGGAGTGGGACAAAATCCCTCCTGAGATGTGTGCAAACCTGGTGGCCAACTACAAGAAACATCTGACCTCTGTGATTGCCAACAAGGGTTTTGCCACCAAGTACTAAGTCATGTTTTGCAGAGGGGTCAAATACTTATTTCCCTCATTAAAACGAAAATCAATTTATAACATTTTTGACATCCGTTTTTCTGGATTTTTGTTGTTATTCTGTCTCTCACTCAAATAAACCTACCATTAAAATTATAGACTGATCATTTGTCAGTGGGCAAACGTACAAAATCAGCAGGGGATCAAATACTTTTTTCCCTCACTGTAGGTGTATTATTCGATCGTAGCCTGACCATGCGCCCTCATGTTGCAGCTGTGGCCAACCTCTAGTGATCTCGAAACACCGGTTCACGCGCGTCTGGATTATAGAAATGCTTTTTATGCTGAGCTGCCTTACAGCTGGTGGTGAATGCGGCTGCTTTTATGCTTAGACGTGTTAGCTGTTTCGAGCACATAAAACCAATCCTCCGTGATCTACACTGGCTACCAGTTAAGCTACCGCATACAATTTAAGTTAGCTGTAATGCCTTGCAAAGCTCAAAATGGCCTTGTTCCTCAGTACCTGCAGTCCCGTCAAGCCCCCCAGATGTCTGGTAGATACATAACCTTGCGCTCTTCAGGCCAGGCCCTGCTAGCTCAAACTAGAATTCTTCAATTCAACGCTGGGCGGTAGTAGGTGCCTTCTTGAGTGTGGCGCCTAAGATGTGAAACTCTCTTCCACCGGCCCTCAGATTGGCTGCGAGCACTGAACAGTTGAGGAAACTCTGCAAGACAATTTTTTTTTTCCTTTTAGCTTTTCCTTGTGCATGTCCCCTCATTTTGATATGTTTACATGTGTCTCGGTTTTCTAGGTAGGGGGACTACCTTCGTCTAATCAATGCTTGAAAGTATTGCGATGCCCTCTTCGTGGGGGGTGGGTTTTTACTCAACAAATTTGTTTTGAATGAATGAGCGAGCCAAAACCCCGCTGCTGCTGCTGCTGCTGCTGCTGCGAGGATGGCCGGAGTTCGCGTGATGATGGCTTACGCTCAACGAGATCGGCGAGGTGTTGCCCCTCATTTTTGGCAAGCGCTTCAACCCAATGCAGTTCGGCGAGCACCGGACGGTCGAGCCGTTTATTGCTGGCCTCACGTCGCCCTCTCGCCGCCCTCGCCGCCACCTCGCCGCTCCCACCGCAGATGCAGCAGCTGTTCTACGAGCACTACGAGCGCAACAAGCGTGGCTACATCCAAGACCTTCCGGCGAGCAAACTGCACCGCGCCATCACCCTGCACCCCAACAAGCGCCCCGCGTACCAGTACCGCCTGCACTCGCTGCTGCTCGCTTCACGCGCGCAAGAGCTGCGCCACAAGACCATCGAGCTGCACCGGCAGATTCTGCAGACTGCGGTGAGACGGGGTGGAGGGGGGGTACGGTCTGCGGCACGTGCCAAGTTGCACCCATCGTCGTAACGTCTATATAAAAAAAACGACACCTAATGTGCGTGTGTGTGTGTATGTATATAAAAAATATACGCGCGGTTAAGTCGATTTGCTTAACGCGTGGTGTTCACGCGACGCGTCCTGTCTGTAACGCGGCTCTTGCACGAGGAAACGCGTGAAACGTGTGCACCGTTACAACGCGGTTTCTTCGTGGTCGACGACGAACTACTTTCTTGAGCTGCGCAGCTGAGCGGTACAGTGATACAGTGCGCGGAGTGATACAGCAAAGCAGCAGCGTACCCTCCGTTGTTTGCCCCGCCATCTCACTGCGTTATGCGTAGTAGTATCTCGCCACACTTTATCGTCGTGTTATTTATGCGGGAAATATTTTCGTTGAAACGCGTTTTTCGCACAGCGCGGCACTTTTCAGGAACGCATCTACCGTGTTAAATGAGGGCCTTGCCGTATTGGGGCTGTTTGCGATTAATAGTGAATTCAGTTTCTTCAGTTCACTCCCTGAATCTTCGATTTATTTCAGAGGGGCTGCATTTCAGTAATTTCCACATTTATCACAGAGCTGTCTTCAGTTTTTGTCGAGATACATAAAATGTAAAAAAAAAAATCAAGTTCCTGAAGCTGCCAGTGCGTGGAGCGTGTAACATCAGACGGCACGGCGCGCATCACGCGGTACGGCGCGGAAGCACGACGGAGAGAGACGCGTTGAGTTTGTATTCATTTAAAACGTTATCACTCTACCTTCCCCGGCGCTCTTATCCGCTGGCACCTGCAGACGGAGGCTCAGCAGCTGCTCGCTAACGGCGGCGGCGACGACGAAGCCAACGCCGCCTTGGACGTGTCGTCAGAGGACCGGCGCCTTGGCGCCTCGCCCTCCTTCATGCGCTTCCACCCTCGCGACCGCCAGCATGTGCTCGAGTGGGACTTCTTCACCGGCACGCACCTGTGGTCAGCGCGCGCCGGCGCCCAGGGCCCCCGCCAAGCCCTGAGCGGCGGCGCCCTCCGCTCGGCGCTTGACGGCACCGTCGTGGCCCAGCTCATGGAAATGATCGACGCCCGCGCTAGGGCGCGCCGGCGAGCCATCGATTTCCGCGAGATCCTGTACGGCTACGCGCGCGTCAACCCGCTGCACGGCGCCGACTACGTGCTGGACGTCCTCATGACGTACCGCCGCAGCGAGGGCAAGCGCGCCGCCGTGCCGGTGCGCCGCCACGCCTACCTGCAGCAGACGTTCGGCCGCGCCGAATTCGCCGAGGAGCGCGAGATGCAAGCTGCCGAGTTCGCCGCGGCCGTGGACGCTAGCGCCGCCGCCGCAGCTGCCGCCGCTTCGGCTGACGGCGGCGGCGGCGGCGGTATCGCCGGCGGTAATGCCGGCGACGGTTCGTTGCTGGCGGTGAAGCTATCGAACCCACTCGGGCTCTTCGCGCCGTTCGGCCGCACCCCCGTTGAGGCGGTGCTGGCGGCCGCCGGGCCCAGCCGGGAGAGGATCCACATGCTGGTGCCGCTGGCCGGGCGGTACAAGGCGTTCGTCAGGTTCATGGAGAACTTTGAGCGCGTGTGCCTGGCTCGCCCGCAGAACATCAAGCTGGTGCTGCTGCTGTTTCGCCCTTCGAGCGACGACGGCGGCGGTGCCGGCGACGGGGACGCGGTGGGAAGACCCGAGGCGCTGGTAGAGGAGTACCGCCGGCGCTACCCGAAGGCGGAGATAGAGGTGCTGAGCGTGACCGGGCCTTTCTCGCGAGGCCTGGCTCTGGAGGTGGGGTCTTCGCAGTTTCCCGGCGATGCCCTCCTCTTCTTCTGCGACGTTGACCTGGCATTCACAGCCGACGCCCTGCAGCGCTGCCGGGACAACGCCGGTCGCGTCGATCCCACCACCGGCAGCGTGAGCGACGACGGGAGGGTTGGCCAAGTCTACTTCCCCGTCATCTTCAGCCAGTACGATCCGCGCATCGTCCACTCTGGTGGCGGCCGTTCGCCCACGAGTGACGACAGCGACGGCCGCCACGAGGACGACCCCTTCGACTTCTCCGATCGCGCCGGAATGTGGCGCGCGTTCGGCTATGGCATCGCCTGCCTGCATCGCGCCGACCTGGCCCGTGCCGGCGGTTTCGACACATCAATTACGGGCTGGGGGCTCGAGGACGTCGACTTGTTCGGCAAGGCGGTGGCGGCTCGTGCCGGTGGCGGTGCCGGTGGCGGGCTAGCCGTGTTCCGCAGCCCGGACCCCGGCGTGGCTCACCTCCACCACGAGGTGCGGTGCGACCCGGCGTTGGAGCCGAGGCAGCTGCGCATGTGCCGCAACTCGAAGGCGTCGACGTTGGGATCGGCGAGGCAGCTGGCGCACACGTGGCTGGCGCACGCCGAAGCCGCCGCCGTCGCCGCCGCCGGGGAAGACGAAGGAGGGGGACGGGGGCCGGGGAGGTTGGGCCCCACAGCCACCGACGTTGGCGGCGACGGTGCCGCGAGTCGGTAACCGCGAGCGGCCGGCGCGTCAAATCGATTTCCTCAGCGGGCACCATCGTCGTACAACAGACGGGCGCGTGCTGGTAGGGGGTGGTGGCGGGTTGGGGGGTGTGTGTGCAGTGGCGGCCGTTGGATTTCAACGGAATTAGGCCAAACATCCCAAAGTAGCAGGACACTCATGAAGACTTGAGACTTGGCCAGGCTTTACTGGTAAATAATTGATATAATTACACTGTAAAAATTAATAAACATAAAAGTTTTCCTGGGCCCATATATATTTTTTTATCAATTTGGGTCGGACTATTTATATTTCGTAGTGACGCCGTTTAAACGCGCTTGGGCCGATGTTCTGTGGCGCACTAATTCCATTAAAACCACATCGGCGAGAGGTGGCTTAAGAGATCAGAACGCGGAGATAGCACCAGAGAATCCTGAACGCAAATAGATTTCAGCTGCCTGTTCTTTTAAGGCAGGTTTCTCAAGTGTAGCGAGCTTATCGCCCTCAACCGGATCATCAGTGACTCACAGAGACCCTTAATCTGGCTAAATTTCAGCTCTGAGATTTAAACAAAAATATCCGTTAGACCATCATGCAACGAACATTACTCTGTGGCAGGACAGGTGGGAAAGTGCTGCCGCTTAATGTATGCACTTTTAAGGGATCTTGGAAGTCGTTTCGATATCTGCAGACTATGAATAGATTATTACACTGTGTAACAAAAATGTGTTTTTTTGTTCCTGGGTAGTAAGTGTTATTTCCTAATTGCTTATGCCTCAAAAAGTACAGAAAATGGCTATTATTCCCCACAAACTTTGCTTTTGTGACCAGGACAGTGATATTTTGAAATGTACCCATTTTTCAATGAGAAAGCATGGTGTGCATTTGAGTCATTCTTTCACATAAAGTCCTGGTCACAAAAGCAAAGTTTGTGGGGAATAATAATAGCCATTTTCTATACTTTTGAGGCATAAGCAATTAGAAAATAACACTTACTACCCAGGAACAAAAATCGTGTTACATAGTGAATTATTGGTCTCATGACTTGACACTAAAAGCACAATTTGGATTAAATTGACAAACAAATGAAGAATAAAAGCCCTAAATCGCTTGTGCCTGCAGACGTTCATTGGTAGTTACGCCAAGCCAAAATACACAACCAAAAGCTGAACTTTGTGCATTGAACTGAATGAAGTACATTTAATTTCTTTAACTTTTAAGTTAACTGCCTGTCGCTTGCGTACCGTGTTTTTTTATGCATTTGCACATTTGTTAATTGTAGCGTTAAAAGCATCATTTTCACACACGTAAGATGTGTAACAATTTCATCGACTCATTGAAAACTATCAATTATTAAGCTTTTCTTAAGGTGTTTGATAGACATCAAATCACGCGCGTTAGAATCAACGCAAAAGATTCCTAGATATTTTTTTTTATATATATATGCGACGCACGAGCTCTTGATTAAACAAGGCCTGTCGTGGCGAAGTCGGCAAACAACCTCAATAACTGACGCCGCACGGTGAGAGTCATCCCTGGGTGGAATGACTACAGGGTGGAGCGGTGCAACAGCGGTTACAACACCGCAGTACGAACCCAGCGGTCCGAGTTCCAATTAGCAGCCTTCGGAGTTCGATACCTGGCCACACGGCTAATATCGGTGGCGAGTGATCTCGGACGGGTCCCGAATGCCACTCCCACTGCTGCAAGAGGCTCTCTCCATCACCGACGTGTCCATGCCCTCCCGTTATATATATTTTTTTATCGTTGTTATATTTACATCAGTTTCACGTGCTGCCTACAATCCACTGGATATCTGTGAAAAAGAGCTTCGTAGCTCATCGGATTCCTCCAGTATGAAAATAAATATTCTGATTCACTGAAGGCGCTCTATTTGCTAGTGTTAGAAAAAAAATAAGGGTTCGCGATTGTGAAGGGGAGAATAGTTACATTCCGGATCGAGACGAGTCGACAGATGCCTTCGTCCGGCTCTGTGAGCCTCGGGCAAGAGGTATGTGAAGGTGCATCGATAAAATTTGTAATTATTCTTACGCTCGTGATGTCACACCACGATTGAGAACATTTTATTTACTATTCGTACAAAGAATACGCAAACTATATGCTGTTACATCTAGGGTAATGGGGAAAACAGAACTAAATGACACATTAAAAAAAGTGCAAACATTTTTAGATACAGACGTGTTTATTGTACACCGTCTGTGACCAAATGACCCAGAATGCACGCGATCTTCATCATATTTCAGATGCCAAGCAGCATTGAGCCTGGAAAGTGCTTTGGATTGGTGACCGCCACGCATAACAGTTCTTAGAAGCTGTGGAGCCATTTTGGGCAATGCAGCATAAGCTATTGTCATTCAGTAATATAACCCCAGTTTACATGGCGGTGCGCGTTCCTGAAAGGTGCAAAGGCGAATACCAAAACGACCTAAATCATCGCGATTTGCAGGGTAGCTGGAGGCGACGGACAGAAGCACGAAAGATGCCGTTGGCGACGTGCGGGGTTTAGGCGACAAAAACTATTAATAGTGACGACGTAAAGGGGGGCGGGGGGGAAGATGTAAATCGGGGTATTATCGTGTTCTTGTACGCTCCTTCACCTACACTCCTCACCTTCACCAACCTGCACTGACCAGCATGGTGAAGTATGGTCCGACTCTCCACAACTCACGCGGATCTCCCGCAGCATTGGATTCACAAGTGCATGCTGTGCAAAGTGTTGCTGTAAACGCTGCGGCCAACAGGCCCGCCGGGGTTAGTTCACGCGGACTCCCCAAAACGGCTAAAAGGTGCCGTTTTATTCCGGTTTGTTAATGTGTATACCTCAGCAGATGAGAATGGCCCATTGCAAATTCAACTGTGAACCTCGGCGTAAGTTTAGCTCCTCAAAATGAACGTATTAGCGGTACACTGCGCGGTATATGAAATAAGGGCAACATTGTTTGCAATCATTATTTATTTTTTCACAACATCTTGCGGGGTGTGCATCAAAATCGGCTCTTGCGATGTCGAAGTGGTCGGAAGAGCAAACGCTACAAGTGGCTGAACGCGAAGATTCAGTCTGTTGCCGAACGGCAGCATCCAGGCTGATGACGAATGGCTTGCTCCATGTTTCAAAGGCAGATTTGACTTGTGTCTGCGACGTTCTTCGATTTGACGGACCCAAATCCACAGGCAATAGGCCTTTATTAGTAGACTGAATAAGCCTTCGAAGTGTCAAACTTTGGCGAAATTGTCAATTGAAGACTGATGAACAGATTTGCCGATTCAAATTTAGATTTTAGACTGTTTTATGAGGACCAGTACATTATGCTGCATCGGTGTACCGCCAATACGTTCAAATAACTGCTCGGCTCAAGATCCGAATGTGGCTGACAAGTCTTAGAGAGCATTTGTACACATGAAACGTGACGGCATGGCACGCATGCAAGGCGATGGAAGTCGTGCCTTACAATTCTGCTGTTTGTGAGCACGTGTATGTGTATCTACTTATTTCCAGCCTGCATGCGTTTTCCTGCGATAGGTATTCTCATGTACAGAAAGTGTTGGATTTGAGTTGAATTCCTGCAAGAGCGGTGCTTTTGCCACCATTCGTTTTCTGTTCCGAGACAATTTCAGTGTTTTATATTCGTGACATTTCTTCAAATCGAGATTTATCATGCATGCAGTAACTAATGGTGTATTTAGGTTTTTTTGTTAAAGAATGCATTTACTTGGTATTCATATTTTTTTAAGCCCACGACATTAATAAAGACAATTTTGTACTCAAGCGTAGCGGAGTGGTGATATTTTTTTGTGGCATGCTTGTGGGGAGGGCATATCACCGAGAGGACATCCACCACGCAGGTGGAGCATTTAAAACGATTCACGTGCTGGAGCAAGGATTGATCCATCACCATTGCGAGACCATGAGAGGTGGGGGAAGCCTACATCAAGGAGTGGACTTATCATTGCTGATGACAAGTTTTTCCCCCGGATCTCCTTTGCAACCTTTGGGCTCTCACTTGCCCATAAACTAGTTATAGGAAAACCCTGCATCACTTTAAACTAGCTCCACACTCGCGTGATCAGTTGCGCAACTTGCTCATGCGGTTTTCCCTCGTTGCTCATGAACTTGCTATCCGGGATTTTGTAATCGCATTTGGAACTCTACAAGACTGCGATAAGATGAAAGTGATGAGAGATTACCTCGAAGCTTTAGAAACATCTGCATATGTTGCGCGTACGATATTCGTAGGCCAATATCCGCAAAATGTTCTATTGACAAGCAATTCCGAAAGGTATCCCTCGTGATAAAACAAGGCAATACTGTATGAGACTAGATCGCTTACATATGGAGGATGGCTCTGCAACCAGTTGCATACACCACAGAGGTCCTACTTTCAAGCAACCTGCTTGGAAATTTGCATTTAATAAATGAATACATTTAGTCTGTTCAGCTGACCTCGAATTCCAGTTTCATGTGTTTTTACTTTATATTTCCAGCAATAAGCTGTTCAATTCTACAACTCAGAAAATCATGGAAAAGTAAAGCATTTTTTTTCTTACCAACTTAAGCCACTCTTCAGTACGTGCTTCAAGCCAACTCGGCTGCATTCGAGGCAACTCAAGTTGTCAGTCCAAGGAAATGAGGTGATAGAGAAAAACAACTCAAAAGATTCTCCCGTAGATTTTTTTGTAATGCTTTTACTAACAAACAGAACACTCATTGTGACATGTATCCAAACTACTTTTGAAGTTAATACAAATACTGGCGTTACAGTGAAATGGTAGTCAAAGCGCAACTGAAATTGTAAGGACTGGCATTTGATTATATGGCAGTAATTTATGCAAGAACAATACATGTTACGAAAGTCTCAAATCCTCACACTTCATTTCCGTTCCTCTAGTTTGTTCCAGTCGATCCAAAACCACCGCTGCCTCGTTCCGTGTTTTCCAGTGACTGCAAATAATGACGGCAATAAAACATTGACATTTCTGTTAGGCAGTCGTACAACATAGCTCGCTTATTTTTCGTAAAAAAAACAGTAAACTTTGTTTTAAAAATGTTGGCTAATTGTACTTCCGGCATCATGTCATGAGACCAGGAATCAAGTCAGATTCTCAAAGAGCAGTTCAACTACCCATCTTAGAGAACAGCCCACAGAAGTGGATATCGTATATCTCGAAATCAGAATATGTATTTATATTGTCGGAATACGATGAGCTTTCAAGCTCTTTTTTCACATGTCCAGAGCTATGAGATCCCTTCGAGTGGACCGCAGATCCACAGAATGGTGGGGCACTTGTTCTGTCACAGAGTAACGTTTGCCGCGTGACATTCAAACTGATATTTTTCATATTCAAAGCGGGAATTTAACAAAAAGGTGAAAAATCTGTTTTAATAAGAGTCTGCACATTTAGTGGCAACTAGGCTAAGACTATCAACCTGCCACACTTGAGAAACAACTTTAATAACTTTTATTTTACCAGGTAAGGCCCACTGAGCTACTTTATAGATCTCTTTCAGAAGCGACCTGGATACAAACGATAGCTCAGCAAAGTTGATTATCATCACGTGGAAATGTATTGCAGCAAGATACTCTTAAAACACAGGTGACAGAATTTAAACCAACGGTGCTGGCTCCATGTCCTTGATTTCAGAGCCACCGGGCCACCTCTCATGGAAACGCGATTTCAACAAACGCAGTGCTACAAAAATGAACATCAGGCCGTGTAAGGTGTCAGCGTGAACTATTAATTTATTAAGACGCCTGTGCCACTCGGCCACCTCAATGTGACCAAGTCAAATCTCACCGTGCACTCTTCCAGCTGGGGGTAGAAGATCTTTTCGCAAATCAGCTGTGCAATCCGGTCTCCCCTCTTAACTGCAATGGGACAAAATGAGTTCAAACAAGTAGAGAATTGTAAATATTGTGAGTTTAATCTCCAACACCCATGTGCTGAACTAGTAACGAATTGGTATGTTTTGTTTACGTGACAAATTGGCTGTCGGGTAGTGGCGGGTTTAACGACAGTCATGATCTATGCACTGCTGGATGGAGGCCTCCCTAAGCTGATGGACGTCTCTCACTGTCAAGCGATGCAATAATTGATCTCTCTCCAGCTCCATGTTGGAGAAGGTATATTTTGCACTGCGATTTAATTCCACTCCAATGTACCTTGGCTTCATATTTGCATTTTGTTAGTAGCCTACTATGCATTTACTCGAATGAGGATCTGCATGTTGAATGCAAGCCAAGAGTGAAAGTTCAATTTTACCTGCCCCGCAGGTATAACTGGTATGGTGCCATTCAAGTGTCACCAGTTGAATGACAGTTTAATATATTCGCTTGCAATTCTAAATGTTCATTTCACTTTCCAGCCCTGTGGTGGGTGAGTTTAGAACTCTAGTTTGTTCCTGAAGCATTCGCATCGCTGCTCACTGAAGAACGCGGATACCTAAGAATTACATTTTACACATATTTCCATGCTGAGCTGCAAACCTGGTTACCCGAGTAATATTCCGGGCCACAGCTAACATTTCTGAAAAGTGATGTCTGAACCAATCCTGGGTCCCTCTCCTCCCACCCTTTTACCAACCCCCAATGGAACATGTGCAACACCATAGTCGAACTTTCCAGCTGTGGTAGTCAAATCATTATGAGCGGGAAAACAAATACAAGTCAGCTCGTTAAAGGAGCCTCCATACTGTTGGCAATGTGTTTACACCCGCGTATTGGCGGTTTAACGCGTGTGTATTTGTGCAACGCGACTTTATATTTTTGCTTCAGAGTTTTGAAGTTCCCTGGAAAACACTGGTCGCGACCGTCCTCAGACGGGCAATATTTCCCGGGCACAGCAATAAGCAGCCCGTCGGCTGTCCTAGAAACGTTGACTAACTGTAATCAACGTAGTTAAAAGGTTCACGAGAGCTCTGTGGCACAGCAAAAGCTCTTTACCGACAAAAGGCTTCTTCCCGAAGTTGAAGAGCACCACACCGACATTTCCTCTGTAGTCTTCGTCTACGACGCCGGCTGAAAGGAATCACACATACAGGTGTTGTACAACCAGATTGGGAGCAACAATGGGAGACATTTTACTCCACTGTTTACTCGACTAATTGTGCACCACATCTCCCTTTTTCCAAAGGGCACAGATGGCTTGGGGGGGGGGGGTAGTGGTATAGTCCAGCCATTGCTCCGCTGAGGAGTTTTATACAAAATCCCAATCTAGTTTTAGCTGCTCACTGTCATTGTTGACACTAGGGCTGGGATGATAATTATGTAAGTGCTCTTCTGCTCTATCAAAGAAAGATTTCGTTACTCATTTTTTTCGGTAAAGTCACGTATGTAGAAATACAATAAAATTATATTAAAATAAATCACGACGTTTCGACCGCAACACAAGCCATCTTCATCAGGTGTAAAAAAAAAACAAATAGCGAGGGAGCACATAGGGTGACATCAAAGCTATGTGCTCCCTCGCTATTTGTTTTTTTTTTACATCTGATGAAGATCGCTTGTCTTGCGGTCGAAACGTCGTGATTTATTTTAATATAATTTTATTGTTTTTCTACATACGTGACTTTACCGAAAAAACCAATGAGTAATTTATGCAGTCACAAAAGCTTTAATTCTATATTAAAGATCTGGTTACTCGACTAATCACAAAATGTGAAAATAGTTGGAGGGAAAAAAAGGTCTCGCCTGTTACCACGTGTGCCGCTAGACAGGAAGTACCAGGTGGGTTTTAGTGTCGTGATCGGCATCATGAGCCGCGCCATGCTGACGGGGGGGGGGGGGGGGGGGGGGGGTTCCCACCTTCGAGGAAACAGGATGCGAGGGTCGCTGCTATTTTTAAAGATGACGGAACCCAAAGTAATCGACCACCTAATCTTCCCGCTCGCTACGCCCGATTCAGGGCTTCATTTCAGTCAAGTCCATCGGAGTCGATGACCAGGAAAATACTTTGACATCTGGTCCACCACATCCAGGCCCCGTCACATTCATATAGGCCATGTGTACCGCCGACGCGATCATCCAAATGTAACTGCTCGCAAAAGTTACTTTATTTTGAAAAACCACGCAGCATTATCACCCCCCCCCCCGCCCCCTTCTAGCAGAGCAATTTCCATTTGCAGGTCTGTGCTGAGTGCACTTGGTGTCATGCCGGGATGGTTTCACAGACAGCTGCCACCGGGGCGACCACAAATCCTTAACCTAAAATGAACGTCTTGGCGGTACATCGGTGCTAGGAATTTAAAACAAAGCACATTTTTGTCGCAATAATGATTGATTTTCTCACGATTGACAACCCTGGTCAGAAAATCTTGCGGGGTGTGCGTCAAAATCAGTTCTCGTGACGTCAAAATGGTCTAAAAACGAATGTTGAACGGCTGAACGCGAAGCTTCATAGTCTGTTGCCGTATAGTAGCACTCAGCCCGATGACGATTGGCTGGCTCCGTGTTCCAAAGGTAGATTCGACTCCTCGTGCCCTAGGCTCTGTCGGACGGTTCCTCGATTCATTTGCGGAATAATTTCTTGACGGACGGTGGCATCAAAAGATTGACTTGTGGTGTCACACGTTCGAATGGGAAAGCGGCTGTTGAATCTAAGTGCAATTTCTGATGGGGAGTCTGCGGCTCACTCAAGGGCAACAGTGGACATTGTCCGACTGTTTTATGAGCACCTGCGTACCGCCAATACGTCCAAATTCATATAGTGTTAAGAGAGCTCCTTATTTGCTTATCTTTCTGAATCTCTTACTCCTATCGTGTTTTGTATTGTCTGTTGCTGTAACATTCTGGCTCACCCCTGCTAGACATCTGTAAAAAAGAGCTTCAGATTTCTCCAGGATTAGTAAAGGTTCCGATTCTGAACAGTCGCACCTACCTCCGACGTCGATCCCGTGTTTGGCAGCCAGGCCTGATCTCGGCGCTGCCGAAACAAAGCACACCAATAAGTCACAAACTTATTTACCAAGTAATGATCGTCATCATTATCACATAATCATGTCCACACACTCCTTCAACGTGTATTCAGTTATATTTCTGATCAGTCGAACTCCAGCTGTGCAGAAACAAAAATTGTTCTCAATTATTACGTGGGTTACTACCATTGTAAACGAAAAAAACCAACACATTCATCTGTAATGCTGTGGCCTTAAAAGAAAAAAGATGAGGCAACGTTTTTGGTAAATTACTCCTTTTTCAGACGTTTTGGGCAATGACCCTTCTTCGAAGCACATAGAGAGTCCAAAGAGACAGAGTTAATACTAAGGGTTGGAGACTTGCACTTCATAACATGGCAAAAGGGTTAGCACACTGGACGTTCCAATCCAGAGGATGGCGGTTCGATTCCATCTCCCACCGTGGCAGTTGAAGCAATAAGAAACTTTCTTAAATTCTGCCCCACTCCTGTCCACCTCGCAATACACACAAATTTGTACCCCACAGTCGACCAACGGGTCACGTGAGGTGTGGTTAAATGTGGTTAATCCAACCTCCAGGAGGAACTCTCCTTGAGCTCTCTCTAGTGGAGGCCTTACCACCAGCAGTGGCGAAGGGCAAGCAGTCAGATGACTGCGCCTTTACATTTTTATTATTATAACGCATTTAGTTTAAATGTCACAAGCAATTCAATGTTTGTGTGTAAACCGCACAGTGCGCGGCTTGCATGTGGAGAGCTGCTGTGTGCTGGCACTGCTGGAGGTGGCTTTAAAACTAAACTATATTTATTTTACCACGTAAGGCCCACTGAGCTACTATATAGATCTTTTTTAGAAGCGACCTGCCCACAAATGATAGCTCAACGAAGTGGCTTATCATCATTTATACATTTTATCGCAGCCAAATACTCAAAACGCACGTCGATTCTGAACGTGGAGGGAAAAACCGGAGGACCCGGAGAATAATCCACGCGACCACAAGAAGAGAGAGACGCGCAAACTCAAAATACAGTCGATCAGATTATCCGGCGGTGCTAGATTTTTAAAAACGCCAGATAATCACTAATAATCATAATTTAAAATAGCTTATTTTGCACATTCTTGTATCACGTTTGTTTTTAGGTGTTATATGTTTTAGATTTGATAATTATTGTGAGAATAGGTTTTCCCCTTTTTTTCTGGCAACAAATTAAATTAGTTTACGTGAAATTGGCATAAATAAACAGACAAAAATAAATATCCTACTTTTAAAAAGTTACTGTGCCGTTGTCACCACTCCAAACTCACAGACTGCATGGTGAGGTATCTACGCGCAGTATTTTCATTGTTTAAGTTGTATGTTGTGTATAATGTATATTATATTATCTTTAACACTGACATCAAGCAGAGCTACTGTCACACTATATAGTGCCGATCGCCGGACCGGTTACAGCCATTGGAGCGGTTTTGTCGGTTTCGCCGGATCGGCGCGGGACCACCGGCTAATGTTGGAAGCAGCTGGATAATCGATGATCGACTGCATACAGGCGGCCAGGGTCGGCTTACCGATGCGTCCGTAGCAGCCGGCCGGCAGTGCGATCTGTATGTCGGTCTGCACCACCAGTCTGTCCATGGGCGGGATCTCGTAGTCGTATGCACTGCACACGCAGAGAAAAACAGAAACGTTCATTGACATTCCCCCTCGAAAACCGGTGTAACGATCAATCGCATCAGAACATCGACACCGATCCGAAGCGAAACATCTCCTTCATCAACGGAAATTTTAAATACGAGCCCGCAGCAGCGCGATTCTGACCATGAAACCCCAAACCATGGTTCCATAGACAAAAAACCAGAGAGACTTGTCGATATTATAGAGACGTATAGAGCAGGGGTGGGCAAATTTTGTTGACTCGCGGGCCACAATGGGTTCGAAAATTTGACAAGAGGGGCCGGGCCAGGAACAAATGGATGGAGTGTTTGTGTGAACTAATATAAATGGCGTGTTAAAAATCATTACATTAAAGGATTTGGCCTTTAACAGGTAGCAAAGCATTTATTTGCAAGGCAATTTAACAAATTTCCACGAACATGAACAATACAAAAACATGTCGTAACGTGACTGATCAAACATCATGAAAACAGCGCCGTCTAATGGGGAAATGGGGGCATTACAGGAGAAAGGTAAAATTTAATAATAATATTTGGACAAGTTCGGCGGGCCGGATTAAAAAGCCCAACGGGCCGTATACGCGGCCCGGGGGCCGCACTTTGCCCATGTCTGGTATAGAGAGAGGTGCACTAAAGACGAGCAACGGTAGTGCGCGCTTGTCGCCGTGCAACACAAACTATGGACCCCATCGTAAACCCAGTGTGGAGAAAGAACAGCAAAAACGACACGAACTTTCTCTCTCTCCCTCTGCTGAAGCGCTCTCGCCGCAGCCAGCAGACCTCGACACTGGCATCGAGCTCCCGAATGAGACCCCCCCCCGCCGCCGCACCTCCGATTAGCACGGTCGGCTACGTACGGCTTGAAAGAAGTTCAACGCACAGTACATCATCGCCACGTGCAAGTAAATCTCTTCAAGTCTACATCATGGGACCTCCTTTGCCAGTACCAAAATATGATAATAGGGTTTCCCCTTATGTCATACCTGTCAACCCCTTATCAGTGCCTAGCTTATTACAGACCATCATCATTATTATTACAGACCAATTCAGATCTTATTGGGTCATCCCCCCCCCTCCGTAGCCCTTATAAATCTCAACGTTCATCCTACAAAGTACCATTACAAGGGAGAAACACAAACAAATAGCCAATCACCACTGGTGCTTTACACTACACTCACTCGTACTCATCACTACACTCACTAGTACTAGTGAGGTGTAGCGGTGAGTACGAGTCGTGTCTTACCTTATTTCAGACCGATTCAGACCGTATTGGTCACCCCGTGCCCTTATAAATCGCAACGTTCATCCTACAAAGTCCCATCACAAGGGAAAACACACAAACAAATGGACAAAAACTAATGTTTTGCCCCGTATTGAAACGGCTGTACGCCGTATGGACCTGAACACGCAATTTCCCTGTACAAGAATACGGGGTAAACTGTATGGGTTTACAGGTACGGTATTTAGGTCATAAGTCTTACATCCGCGTTGACCACAACCTTATAGATGATCTTGTCAAATATTAGTTTTGTGTATTTTATTTAATTATTCTCTTCATCTTTTGCTCAGGGATCGGCGACCTGCGACTTTTTTTTTTAATTACCAAATTCGAAATAAATGGCCCTTCTTGTTATTTTGGTTGCCGAAACCTGATGTAGCCCACAACCTATGGAATTTGCTAAAGAGTTTCAACTTAGTCCGTGTATTTCATTAATCATCTTATATAGTCTGAACAGACTAAACCCGCCCGTCGGAACGTTTAGTCAAAGGCTCTCTTAAATTATTTAAAACAAATTTACATACGTTCGTAATTGCATACATCGTGTAACACTGCCAACAACAACATCACCAAGTATTGTAATTAAGTTAATTTCTTAAATTAGTGATGTTGAGGTGGGGTGCGCATATTTTTTTTCCCGCCAATAATCCAAGCAGATAAAATAGTTCCATACGTTAGTGCTACGTTTATACAAATAAAGCAACAGAATACAGTACACACGTTTACACACCGTTAATTGTAATAAAGCAATGAAGTAGGGCCATTGCACGAAACGTCGGCGATTATATATTTTGTATTAATGCAGTGTTATTAACGAATGCGTTGAGTTTGTGTTAACTGCGCTTGTTACACCACTGTCAACGCATACTCGCCAAAAAAAACAAAACGTGGAGCGTAAGGATAGTATTTAATTCGCCGTTTTAAAAATATATATAAAAATTACTGGGATCATCCCGTGTACTGGGCTACCGCCTATAGTGGAGACGGAGCGGGATGGCATCGTTAGCGGAGACCTTCATCCAGCAGTGGATAGCGCGTGTCTGACGATGTTGAGGACAGAGATGAAGACGAACATGATGCAGATGAAGAAGAAAGAAAGTTTAACCTGTGTAGATCGAATCCTGCGGCCTTGGCTGATCCCTTGCAGGGCGCCACGGCGTTGGCGCTCAGCTTAGCGAAGCGCAGGAGAGCTCGGTCTGTGACGGGCATTTCTACCGATTTAGTAAACGAAAAAAAATCACGAAAATGAGAGTCAAATATTGTTGTTGTTGTTTTAACGTCCTCCTAACTATTCACTAAAAGCGTTCAAATCAATGCGATTATCGAGACCGTTCGCCGAGGAAACTTGAGGGGTTAAAACTGGCGGGAAAATTTTCAGACGATTCTCATCAGCTTCCTTTTAAATAGATTCCGGAATCGAGTCATTCGTGGGACCTCCTGAAGTGCCGTGGGATACCGATTATATTATTTGAAGGACGATTCATGAATCGATTCCGGTTAATTTGTAATCTATGCTGAAACCTAACGTCGCAGGATTGCACATCAATACTCTACAGATTACGTAAATGTGTAGAATGTACACGTTTGTTGATTAAATAATAAAGCGTCGTTTGGGGGGGGGGGGTTATATTAGTAACGTAATAAATAGTGATGTCCCTCCACAACATTTTTTTTACACATCCCGTTAGCCACAAGCAACGCTGTGGACCGCTGTCATCGCGAGCGCATTTCGTTATTTTTTTTAAATCTCCAGCGAACAATAAAATAATAATAAATTTTTATTTGAAGCTTTCGTGACTGCAGTAATTCATATTCTTAGCTCTCTCGGTAAAGTCACGTTGAAGGGAAACAATAAAATAATAAAAAAAATATAAAACAATAAAAATTCTCACGACGTTTCGACCATAACACAAACGGTCGTCATCAGGTGTGTCGGTTTGCATAAATCGTCGTGAGAATTTTTTTATTGTTTTATATATATTTTATTATTTTATTGTTTCCCTTCAACGTGACTTTACCGAAAGAGCTAAGAATATATAATAATATAAAAATAATAATAATCTGTGAATCCCCTGGAGGAAACTCGTCGTAATAACAACAGCAGCCGCAGTTCGCCACTAAGTGATGATAATACTGTGTAGGAACCTCCTGGTTACTACACCAGCCCACACGGGATTATTGTGTCCGTCCGTCCGTCGTGCATCCAAAAATGGGTGGGGAGGGGCTGGGTGGGGAGGGGCTGGTCACCCCGTGGTGCCCTTATAAAACTCAACGTTTAACCTACTCACGCCGGCTTGTGCCCGCCCTCACAGTCGGGCATATTGTGTGGAATACACCACGTGGTGTCGTTGACCCTGGCCATTGACCGAGCAACCCAACGTTCCTACCAGCTCCCTCCGCAGGAGAATGTGTTAATTACATTTACATAGCGGCTTTTCATCAAGGCTACAGAGTTTGGTGGTACATGTTGTTTATGTCGTTTATTGTGAAAATTCGGTCACAGTTTCCCATGACCACTGTTGTTACATTGCTTTTATGGCTTTAGTTTGGTGATTTCGAAAACGTTTTTTTTGTTTGGCCATGTTTGTTTGTTGTAGTACGGAGTTAGACTGATGGCTTTAATCTAAGTTGTCTTGTGGTTGTTGTTGTTTTTTGTGCCAGTTAAAAGGGTAAAACTTATTCCTATATCTTGTTACTGGCAAAGGAGGTCTCATAATGGTTGTTGTTGTTTGACTTGCATCCCACTAGGATTTGTGCGCACAGCGTTGGTGTACGGTGCTTTTATGGATCATTTTTGCTGTTTTTTCCTGGATTTTTCTGTTTGCCCATAGTCACTTTAAGATGTTTTCTTGTTCATGTGTTTTTATTTGTTGCGGTTGCACCCGATTCAAGAGCCGAATGGCTCACAGGGCTATCTCCATATATATAAAAGGCAAAGTTGTGAATATGTGTTGTCTGTTCAAAATGTTTAGCGTACTTCCCGACATGCAACAAACTTGATATTTGCCATGTGGGTACTTTCCAAACTGTACACCATGCAAACATTATAAAAATATACTTTTGGGGGGGGGGGGGGAGCTCAATAATGAATTTATTTTTTGCAGGGCAAGTGAGCTATGATGTCAAATCTGTCACGTGACCATCGCATGTGGAAGCGTAACGCATTGTAGTGTAGTGGTTAGTGCACCGTGCTACGAACCCGGCGACCCGAGTCCGATTCCCGCTGACCGCTGACGGCCACCACCGGTGACGATTATTTTTTCCGGTACTGGGCCTCCCCTAGGTCGACTCAGCCTCAAACGAGTAACTGCTCTGCTGTTTGTCATCGCCACTGGGGAGACAAAGGCGGCGGGCGTGGTGAATCCAAGTCCCGGGCGAAGCCGGGTAGTACAGCTAGTACCAAATAAATGAAACTGAAACACAGCAGCAGCAGACACTCGAGCATACAAGTAATGATATGATAAACACATTTTAAGAATCGTTTACGAAACGAACTAAAACTTCAGCAAACGGAAGCGTACATAAATAGGTTTTAAGGCGCGTTTTAAATATGTCCGGGGACATTGTGCCAGGCTAGGTGCACTTTTGAGTGCCACGTGAAGTTTCGAAGGCTCGCTGCTTGCTGACAGGAGGTCACGGGAATGATCCCCCACGTAGCCTTTGGGGCCGCCCATAAATGACGTCACGCACCTAAGGGGGGGGGGGGTT